AAAAGGAGACAGAAGTTCAAAGAAACAGGGACATCGATTGGCTTAGGTTTGGGGAACACTTTTGGGTATTTCAGGTCAGTTCTGATAATTTACAGTACTACAGAATTTTTCTAAAGTATTGTTGGATTGAAGTGATACTATCTTTTTGAATTAGTGTGACCTTCAGAACTTCTGGTTTCTTTCATACTGAAGTGGATGAGTGAGTGATGTTTGGTACCTCTGCAGTAATCCATGTTCCAGCAACCAGTCCACATCCTAGGCTGACCAGACAAATGAGTGACTTAATTATGACACACATTCAACAGTTACAGTATCTGTTTTAGATTTTTCTCTGGCAATTAGCATTGCACACTAGAGACCTATTCTTTCCGGGGGAGTATGGGTAGCCTAGTGGTTAAAGCGTTGGCTCGTCACACCGAAGACCCGGGTTCGAATCCCCACATGGGTACAATGAGTGAAGCCCATTTCTGGTGTCCCCTGCCGTGATATTGCTGGAATATTGCTAAAAGCGTGTAAAACCAAACTCAGTCAGTCAGTCAGTCCGGGGGAGTATGGGTAGCCTAGTGGTTCAGGTGTTTGCTCGTCATGTCGAAGACCCGGGTTCGCTTACCCACATGGGTACAATGTGGCAAGCCCATTTCTGGTGTCCCCTGCTGTGATATTGCTGGAATAGTGCTTAATGCGGCATAAAAGTAAACTCACTCACTCACTCACCTATTCTTTCCAGAATCTTTAGTTGATTTTTCTGTCTGGAGTCATTACAACTGTAAATGTTCAGACCATGAGACCATCTTGACCCACTCATAACATGCATGTTAAACTTGCAGCAGTAAACAATAATGTGCAACAATTTCACATCAGATTGGCATATGGTTGCACATGAGGCCACAAAATGACTGAAACCACTGACAGCAGGGTTGACTTGTTCATACCAGCAGGTGGAAGGTCAGGCAGGGTCATATTTCAAGACACTTGAGATGCTCCTTAAGGAGACACTGTGTCAGGTCCTGGTGATTAGACACAGACAGAATCAACTCTATAAATATACAAGCCTACTTCACAGTAATATCACAGGCTTTGAGGTTCCTGATTTGTTTTGAAGAGTTTCCATTGCTGGGTATCTTCTGTGTTGTTTGTTGTCATGGTGATCAAACATATTCTCTTCACATTAATTGTAAATAATTGTATATGTTTTGTTAGGGAATTGTTTTGCTAAATGTAGATTTTTTATTGACTTAATTTTTTCGTAAAGTCGTGACTACAATGGCTACGAAAATGGGAGTATTCAACAGTGACTACAATGACTACGAAAATGGGAGTGTTCAACAGTGACTGTACCAAAGGCATAAGTCCAGAATATTTACGCTTATGAGTGAGAATGTTGGATGACTTCATGCATAGCTGTACTTAATTGTATTTTGATATCCTGAGACCTGAATAACATATTTTATTTGTAACACTGTCAAGGAGACATTAAACCTTTGGGGAATAACAACTATTAAATTGTAGAGATTATTACAGCAACTATGTCTCCAAATGAGGATGAAAAAGTCCATCCGGGAGAACTCACAAAGGGATGTTGACAATGTGTATGTCTCCCTTTGAGAATATACTGGCGTGTGTACAGCAAGGCCTCGTTGGATGCCGCTCTGTCCCCCATCATTAGCATATCTCTCTTATGTTACCATCATTAAGCATGTTAAATCCGACCCAGGAGAAAATATGCTTATCTAATAGTTTTTGTGTGTTTGCTAAACAAAAATGTCATGATGGAATGTGTTTACCCTTGAAAGATGTTTGCTTTTAACCTGCCGACATGGGGCGACCCTTGTGTAATTAGGCTGTCTACGATTTACTTTAATACCGGCTAATATGTATGTAAAAGTTTAGGGAGTAACGTGTCATGCTTTACTTGACGCCAGTTGCAGCCAGTCAAGCGAGTCCGACCCCTTACAGATATACGTGGAACTGCCAATTAGCCCTGAGTATTTATTCAGTTATTTTTTGTTGAGAGACTGTAGCAGGAAAAGGCTTGCGGTGATTATACAGATTAAGTACATTTGCTTTGTGGATGGTGCATATACCCACCCATGGCTGTCGACAGGTTACATAAAAGCAGACAATGGCCTCTATTGCGATGATTAATATTTTGCAATATCTCCCGCGCCACGGCTAGATGACATCATCTATCAATCTCGCTAGTAGGGAGAACAGGCTTCATAAACTAACTTTGACTTCAGGATTTTGTGTTTGTGGACAAGCTGGCACCACTGTAAGTGCCTGACTCAACATAACTAATCAACAACCAATCAGGTTGCTTGTACACACTACATAAGTAGTCATCAACCAATCCAGGGCTTGACAGAGATCAAAGTTTGATTTGCCGGCAGCAGTCTAGAAGGACAGCCATTTACATCTTATTGTTTAATGACGCCTGGTAGTCTGGGGAGGGTACCATACTGGCCCCCCTCGGGATAGGAATTCATGTAGTAGCATTATTTACTTCCCATTAAACAACAATTTCTAATAGCTGTGCTGGTTGTTAAGGGCAACAGCAGCAACAAAATATTAGAACAAAGAGGTGTTGACTGTTTAGGTATGCAAATTGTGTTATGTAGAGTCAGACATATTCTTTTTTCAGGGCAAATCCAATGTTGCTCAAGGCCTGTCTGTGCAATGTTTCCATTGATTTAATGCACATGTTGCAAGTGGTTTGGATGGAATTTCAGAATCATGTCAGTTTTAGATAATGAGAGGGAATTCACAGTAACCTGAGAACCAGCAGAGATGTTGTATTTTGTAAATGGGCTTAAGTCTAATGCATGGATCTGTTTATGTTCAGACATTTCTCAATTTTCTTGAATCATTATGTGCCTTTGTTTCTTTGACTATTGTAATATGAAATACGTTTGTATTGTTTATGAGCTTAAGAGGAACAGTTAGGTTTGACACTCAATATTGTTGCAATTGTTTAAAAATCTGAGTCTAATTTGGGAATTAGTTCAAAGTTTTGTGATTTCTTTGTACCTGTGACCTAGATAGCCTCACAGAACACATTAGTGTCATGCCCAGTGGAAAGTTTAAAGTGAAGGAGTGAAGTTATCCATGTCAGGAGAGATTTTGTCCAGGGCACCTTCTTCAAGGCAATCCTAACAGTGTGTCTGCTAACGACTTCAAATTCTAATACAGAATTATGATGTGATGGTGGCACCACATCTTAATGTCTTAACAAGTGAAGCTAATTAATGGGAATGAGGTAGTCCAAGTGAAGAGAGATTTGGTCCAGGACAACTTTCTCAGAGTGATCTTAGTGTATATGTTAACATATGGAAATTACAATCATCTTAGCGCTAAGATCTCTTTGTGGAATGGGTAGTCACAGGTTCTGTAATGGTACACTCTTGTTAAAGTATCTATTTGTCCTACTCAGACATTTCATTTGGTGTCCCCTGCTATGCTATTGCTTTTATTTTGCTAAAAGCATGGTAAAACACAATGTCAGGATCTGCTAAAATGTGCCCCAGTGTCAGGATGTCAGGATCTGCTAAAATGTGCCCCAGTGTCAGGATATGCTGAAATGTGCCACAAAGTCAGGATCAGCTGAAATGTGTCACAGTGTCAGAATCTGCTGAAATGTGCCCCAGTGTCAGGATCCGCTAGTTGTTTGTTTGAATCCCAAGCTGATCTGATTTACAAATCCTTGTGCCAACCTGTAATCATGCATCAATTCAGACTTTCTTCCACAGATACTGTGACTGGAGTACTACCATACTTGTTTTGTGTGCTGGCAAGTAGGTGCCTGACTCATGAGTGTGGGTTTGAATCCTGAATGGGACTCTATCCAACAAAAGTATTTGATTCTGTACCATACTGAAAAAGTCTAATCCGAAATATAACGTGGAAAAAGGAGCTTCTCACTCCAACTCATTCACTCACAGGCTCTGACAAAGCAGTTACAGCAGTTGTACAGGCTTTCTGCCAGAGCAGTTACAGCAGTTGTACAGGCTTTCTGCCAGAGCAGTTACAGCAGTTGTACAGGCTTTCTGCCAGAGCAGTTACAGCAGTTGTACAGGCTTTCTGCCAGAGCAGTTACAGCAGTTGTACAGGCTTTCTGCCAGAGCAGTTACAGCAGTTGTACAGGCTTTCTGCCAAGAGCAGTTACAGCAGTTGTACAGGCTTTCTGCCAGAGCAGTTACAGCAGTTGTACAGGCTTTCTGCCAGAGCAGTTACAGCAGTTGTACAGGCTTTCTGCCAGAGCAGTTACAGCAGTTGTACAGGCTTTCTGCCAGAGCAGTTACAGCAGTTGTACAGGCTTTCTGCCAGAGCAGATTTACCTGAATACAGGAACAACTTAGTTGTACAGTTAACTACAGTTATGACAATGGATATAACAAGATGGGGTTTTCTGTCCCAGATCCTGCTGAAAATTTCTGTCAAAATGTGTATAGAGAACTCCAATTACAAAAAAAGTAAAATTAGTCTTCCCATTGAGTTCGTCATGACCGTATTTTATTGTTTATATTGAAAACACAACAAAACACTGATTAAAACAATAACATTTACTGTGGCCTCTTGCAGTAGGCATTCTTCCAAGAATGACACGGGAATTAACAGAAGGCATCACATAAACCTTCATTTCAACAACAGACACTCAGACCAGGAAATTAGGGAGTTGCACAACTAGCTAACTAACTAACATATCTTCGTTTTGCTTGAGCAAAGATGTAGAGATAACTCGGGATGTTGGCATGTTACCTTTTAGCTTGGTCCCATAAATACTCAAACATTGCTCCGATTCAAACATTAAACTAAGTGTCACGTTAATTATGCCAATGTATTCTTGATAAGAGAAATGTATTGTGTAAAAGTTTAAAAAGCTGTATATAGTTTATGAATTTTATTTACAATTTCTTAAAGTCGAAAGGCGCAAAGATAAGCACCTTAGGCTGAAAAAACAACAACTTGTGGAGGTATTAAATATGTGAGACTGATATTCTGAATTACTGACTAGTCATTTCAGCCATATGTACAGCCTGCGCCTCCAACGTTTCAGTCTAGTATCCCAAACTTATTGAATTATTTTCATCGCATTTTTCTCTGTTTCAATTTTACTAGTCTGACTGAACAGTTGTTAAACTGCGATTTGGGATAGTGGTTTAGGTCATAGACTCTGTATATATTATGAATAGAGAAATAGTAAAATAGAATTATGGTGAACTGTGCTACCGAGCAATAAGCTTATGACACTGACGTTTTCAGGTATGAATATGTAGATAAGTCATGCCAAGCTTGGATTATGACAGTATCAGTTTTGTCTTGAAAGGTAATAAAACCTCATAAATGTCATGTATATTGTCGTTGACATGGGCGATGTAGACATCACGGCAGCCGGGATTATAGTTCCTGGTGGCGTGACATGTGACAAGGATAACTCACAGGATGACGTAAAATGGCGGAAAAGGTATTTAAAAATTCAGAATTTATGGTAATGTCCTTCTGAATACTTTATGTCTCTGGAATAAATACATTCCCATATCTTGACACAAACAACATGTAATGTATTTCTGTCGCTAATTCTGTGGCGCACTTTTCATCCTGTTTCCAGGGCTTGCTCCTGAAATATGTTCACTGGGCACACAGACCAAATTATCGCCATGATGCCCCAAAGGTATGAAAATTGAGACTGTTTACAACCTAACATCCCAGGCATGGCTGTTACGCCATATATATATTTACATCATGAACAACCAAACCCTTCCTTCTATAGACGGCAGAACTGCATCAGTCAGTGTTGTAGTGATGAGATTGTTGCAGAACAGTGCCATCATGTCCCAATCATCCAACATGGCCATAGTTTTTCAAAATTCTCGACCTCTATGATGCTAAGCTTTCATTTACTCATCTATTTTACCGTTTCCCCTCCTGCCTTAAATTTTTGTAGGTACAAAGTTTGTGTTGTTTCACATGTGTTCGGAGGGTCGCAGTTTTTTTGTCAGATCTTCTGATGTTTTAATCTATGATCTCCTGAACTTTTAGCTTTAAGAGTTATGGCAATGAACCTCTTTATGGTCATTTTCAGACCTTAATGTCAAATATTTTGCTGTTTCTGTAGGAATTTCTTCCTTTGCTCTTGTCCACTACAACACATCTCAAAATTTCAATTCTGCCATGATGTTTAGTTACTATCTTCATAACTTTTTTCCTTCAAGTTTCCCAAACCTTCAATATTCTGACCTGAAATTTCTCAACTTTTGTCTCATTCTAAGATGTGATTATCCATTAAACCATGCACTGCACAGTTCATGTGCCTTTTTGGAATCTGCCTGCCCTATGTCATTGAGGAGCAGGAGGGAAGGTCTGTCCATAAGTCTGTACAAGGTTACAGTCTGTCTCTGAGGCCAGAGAACTAGCAGTAGCAGACGCAGGTATAGATGACGTTTGTCTGCCAGAGCGCCTCTGAAACTGGACTCCAGTAAAGTCATCCTTTGCCTCAGGAATGTCCTTGAAAGCATGATACTTGATGGCAGTGTTGACCAGATCTTGCACGCAGGGGAAGTTTTTGAAAGCACTGTTCTTCTGTAGATGATAGAGCACCCTTCTGTTGAGTAGTGGGTACCGAATGTTGGACAAAATGTCCTCAATCTGGCATTTGGAGTGAAGATTGTTCTTCTTCATCCAGTCAGTTGCTGCTGTGAGGATAAGGTTCTCCTCGGAATTGCACTCATCACTTTTGATTAAATCTCGAACTATTTCCCAACTGCATTGTATCCATCTCTCCGAGCGCGCAAGCTCTTTGAACCTTGAACACAGAATGCTGTAGGATATATTATGAATCTCCTCAGAGCTAGTGTTGTTTTCACATAAATCACAGACTGTTTCAACAGCAAACCCTCCACGAGCACTTTCACCATTTGCACCAACACCATTCTGTAACAGTTGATGTATGTAGTTCTCACAGTGAGAGGACAGTGAACGCACTGCATACTTCTCAGCCAGCTTGTACAACGGGATGACGTAGTCGCGATGCAGCCACACGGCACCGCTGTAGATGAAGTACAAGAATCTGCTGAAGACCAGACAACACTCTTGAGGTTCTTGTATAAACAATACAGGCTTCTGACCTTCAACAATGGCCATGTTGTTCAACAGTGTTGCAAGAACATCGCTTTTCATACCCAAGATCATCTTGTGGGCATGGAATATGAACTGGCTGTTGTTGACGTTGAGCACCACATCACTAAGCGTCTCATTGTCAAACAGGGACTCGAAGGACTGCGCCGTCTTGACTTTCTTACTGCCATCACTGAGGGAGGCCTCATCCTCCGCCTCCCCGGTGGGGGGCTTGGAAGGGTCAGGGTACTGTGTGGAGGTGGACAGGGGCGGGGCACTGAATCGCTTCATCCTCCTGCAGCCGCCACATTTTACAGCCGTGGCTAGTAGCGCCAGACTACCTCTGTCGGGGTACTGCTCTCATTGGGCAATCAGGACCTGTAACACAGAGAAGAATTATGTTCATGTTAGTTACAACACAAGCCAGACAAGTAGTCCAGAATTATTAGGAATCATATTGATTTCTGAGTCAAAATCATATTGATTTCTGAGGCAATTTATATTGGTTTCTGAGGCATAACTGTTGATGAATACCCTATGAGGTGATTTTTTGACAATATGTATCAATATTGGTGAACTTTTCCCCAAGTTCAGCATCATGTCAAAATACAAGTTTCAAAACATTTTTCTCACATACTGTTGTCATATTTCTATGAAAGAGGGACTGGAAAAAATGTTCTCACCCACTTGAACAATTTCCATAGAGACTCTGAATTACAAGCTGTAAGATATCTCAGTATAGTAGCGAGTGGAGAGCTCGACCTCTGCTCACATGAAAGTTGTTTCGCGAATAAAACCGTGAAACTGACATTCAGGATGTAGCCAGGCCTTTAACTTTGTCAAACTGGCCTTAAAAAGAGGAGTTGTCTGTCAGCAAGTTTATGTTGGTGTGATTGATGAGGACTTGTAGTGTTTTACGTGTCAGCGGAAGAACACTATATAAACCTGACATTGACAAGTGTTGATATGTCACTCAATGTCATATTTCACGCAACATCTTGTGCATATCTCAGTACGAATTTCCTGCATTTAGAAATATTACGCACTTTTCATGTAACAATAAGATTTCAATATCCTCAAAATAGTTTAAACCAAACTGGAAGATATAGATTACTTTTTTTGGGTATGAATAGGTGCATGTATATTTCACCTGTGAGATTTCATGTGTTACAGTGAACTTGTTTGCCTACCTGAGTGAGCTACTCAACATACTTAGGTTTAAATACTCTTATCTTAACCTCAAGTGACATTTAAAGGCTGAAACAAGTCCTGAATAAAAGCACAAAATGTTTAGATGTTGAAGTAAGCATTCGGGGATTTGCAAGACTAAATGGGTATTTACATGTCCTTCCCAAATTTGCCAACCTACTTGAGCTAGACTGTCTCTTTCATTTCTAATATCCACTCCCTAAACTCAACAAATACAGTCGGGGCAGTATACAAAGGCAGCTAAGAGGTAAACGTTTTATCAGGTTTTTACATAATGCCCTAATTTACTGCTATTCATGTTTCCTAAAACTATTTTGTGATCTCGCTGGGATAAAATTAGCGAATTAGAGGCTGGTAATTGCACCTGTAGTCACAGATGTTGTCATTTAAACTTTTAAGTCTGTCAGAATATATTTATGTCAGTAGCACCACCACCTCTAACTTTTATATCCACCACCAATGGATCAGTCTGTTTCACCCTATTGTTTGCTTATTTCCTCCCTATAACTCACAACATCTCTACTGTACACTCACACCCAACAGGAGGATTCCAACTTCTACAAAAGTTTCCTCTCAACATCTCAGCCTGGTCGTCCCTCACCACAGCTACCCTTTTCCCACTCCACAACTACACTTATACCTAGTAATCCAGTCTCTTCCTGTCCCACTCTTCCCATACACCTCCTTCCCACCTGTACAAAACGAACACTTTTGCCTACTCAATCTGATCATTTCACCTCCATAGTTATCAGCTGCATTCATTTAAATAACTGCATCTTATTACACAATTCCAACATCTCTACCCATTCCATTTCTCATATCTCTTTTCCCACATGTTTTGATCACTGCAGTCTCTACATCCCATCATCATAGCCACCCCATTCCCACCTCACAACTACACCCATCGCTACCCACCCTTTCAAACTTCCATTCCCATTCCAGAATATGCTGTCAGTTTCAACCAAGTCATTCCAAAATTCCCAACATAGCTCAGCACATCAAGTATCATCAACTTCTTCTCTTTCACATATTCATTCTGTATGATTCACCAATAGGCACACGTAGAATTATACCTCCATGTGCACCACAAAGATTTCTTTTCTGTGGACACCGATGCCAGCTGACAGCAAACACGAAACCATTCCTTCATCTCCATGCCCCATTCTGAGGACACCCAATCAACCGCTCAATACCTGTCTGAGCAGAACCCACATCATCCTCAGTCCCACTTGAAGCACCTGCATTTAGCCTGGAAGTGAGACCGAGATTATCAGGTACAGATAGGCAGGGGTTATAGTTCCCACCTTGTCCGACCCAGCTTATCGTCATGATCTTAATAACATCATCATTACACAGCTAATGGACAAATATTTGTCTAGAAATGAGAAACACGCTGGCTGCTGTGATACCAAATATTCGTCCAGATAGCTGCTTTCATCCACTTCAGTAACACTCCGATCGGTCGTGCTGGACACGGAGACTGTGTGCCTTTACAGCATTGGTGTATTTTGACATCGAAACTTTTGTAAAGATAACTTTTAGATTTACAGTAAGCATGTCAAAATCAGCTCACCAGGTCATAAATCATAAGACTATAGATCGAGATGTATTGATCAGTTTGGTGCGAGATGTCAGTCTATTCTTCAGCCGAACAAGTAAATAAGGGAGTTCATTAAAGGGTCATTTCAGTGTCTTGCATATTTCACTGCAAGTGATGTTCTCATGGGCACAGTCCTAAGTCACATCAAAACATACCTGATTTATTAACATTCCATAATGTCTCTACGCTCAGTTAAATCTAATCCTGCCATCAGATTTTCCATTTTCCCTATGCACTAAAAACTATTTTTACTCTCGGAACATTATCGAGTGCATGAGTGGACAGTAATAAGTATGATTTACTGGGCTTTTGACACACTGCTTACAGTTATGGTCAATACTGGATAACTATCGCTGCATTCCCAAATAAATAACAGTCAACTGGAGAGCAGACAGGACTCATTCAGCATGAAATTGAAGCAGCAATGGTTTATGAATCTGTGATTTGGAGCCAAAAGGTCTTTATGTCCGCACTGTGATCAAAGTCATCACTTGGAGCACTTGTAATAAAGTCTCTACAGACAGACTCACAACAGTTAGACAGCAGTTTGTCAGTGGCTTCAGAGTCAGGCGGGCAGTTTGTCGCCTCGATTGCCTCGCAGCATTCAGTAATGGATCGTCAATCTTACTAACTACTGCTTCCCTTGGCTGGAGTATAAACATTGGCTTTTGGAAACTGCCGAGTCTAAATAATCACCCATGCTGTGACACAAGGGAAGCTTAGTGAAACATATACCTGTTGTACCATATGTATCAGATGTGTTTTAAATTAAGGGGCACCCTGGGACCTAGAAAATTGCTCCTATAGTATTTGAATCTAAGGACCTTTAAATCTTTTAACATGTTTCTAAGGGACCCCTTGACTGTCATGGTTAATTTCAAATACTGTATCAGCCGATGATAATCTTCATGGTATTTTGGTTATAATTCTTTTTCTCATGCATCATCATTTTTTCTATATTTAAAAAAGAAGAAGAAGACAAATACATTGAAAGTAAATATCCCATTTTTGATTGATGTGTTTGTACATATTTTGTGATATGTGTATCTTTAACAGCATCTTACACTCCGAGTTCATACCAAACTATGACAAGTTCCTTGAAGATATTGGTAGACATAGATTTTCATTTGTGGATATTTGAAGAAAAATGCAGTTCACAAGAAAAGATATCTGAAATGAGGTGTTTGACTGTGGTATTTCTCATTAGGCATAATATGAATCATCTAAAATGATAAGAAATATTTCCTGCCTGTCCTTAAGATCCTTTTATAAGTAAACACAGCGGGTTTCAAGTGTTATCAAGGAACTTTTTTAGATAAATGAAAGCTATGCTCATAAAACTCTTTTTTATCAAGAGGAAAAGCTGGATGATAGCAGGATTAGACAGTTTTTATCAAGCTAACTCCAGAGAGCAAAAAAACAGTTCACAAAGGTCCTCAAATTGTTATTTATGATGGTGATAATGACAAAAGTTTTACAACATCCGCACTAGCCTTTCAACTCACTCTCTTCATGCCACTATAATCCCTGCTCCCATGAACCCATCTGTGAATAACACCATCCTCCAGAACAAATCCATCTCCGATAGGCCGTTTAACTCCATCAAAGTGAAATTACTCCCTGTGTCGAATACTGCGGGAGAGCCTAGATTTCATTAATCACGAACCTGCTCTCCTCTGGAATAATCCTCCCACTTGCGTGTAAATATATATACCCAACGATGGCTCAGCTAGTTATAGAATTGTGGAGGATAAACATATGTATGTTCAGCCAATCAGAAACAGGCTCTCATATTCACGTTTCTTTTGCCAGTGGGAAAAAATCTACTTCACAATGATACAGCTTGTTAGCCTGTGTCAGTCTGCAGTGTTGACGTTTGATAACTAATAGAATAATCCTCCTGCATTTTGCGCAACTGTTTCGGTTTTCGACAAGGTTAATCAGTCCTTTGGAGATGGACGTATCTTGCTGAAATCCTCAACACCTATAGTTTTATGATCTGAATTGCCATGCACTTGCCAAGATGAGAATATTTAGCATGCTGAAGTGCTTTCCTTGACATAATATATAAGTACATAGTCGTAAAGAAAAGGGTACATGTACGTAGGTGATAAGGGAGATAATCATCTGTTACTTAACACAAAGTAACAGGTAGTTGTGGTTTTAAAAAACTTTCAGGATGGTTTTCATCATGATCAGGTTTTCCCATTAGCGATGAGTTTGTGGGGCAATTGCCATACCAGGACTGGAAAGGTAATTAATGCTCAAAGTAATCTGCAGTTTATTATCACAAATCCTTTCCATGACTGTCATTACAGGATAAAATTTACAATGTAAGTGACTGGTCCACATTGAGCCATTGTTTATGATGGTCACTGAGTTGAATGAGATACTGTGATTAGTTAATGGATTTTTCTGTAATTTCATTACCAGTAGTATATACTGTTTGGAGATGAGAAGTATTCAGTCAGGCCTACCATACATTACATTCATATTTTTAAACCAGAACTGACAAGGAACGGATTCGTGGGATAGAAACAGCCTGTGCAAAGCAAACCAAAGCCCAAAA